GGTGACAAATTTCGGATGTGATAAATATTGATCGACAAAAAAAAACGGCAGAAAAAAACGGCAAACTACACGATTATGAAAATTTATGTGATCGACTATGTTTTGTAAAATCATATTATAGGACACACCACAATAATCCAAGCATTATTAGTATTAGATAATTTTTACACTTTTAAGCATATGACATTTTCTCTCCTTTACCCATTTTAGTTTACCCATGTAATTTTTTAATAACATCTCTGATACAAATATATACATAATAATCACACAAAAAATTATACCAGTCTATAGCAAAAGTTCTGGAGGTTATATATACTTCATACTTTCGGATTTTCTAGAATTTGTCAATTATGTTATAATCTAAGATCTTCCGATTCTCTGGTATAATTTTTAATAGATAATTTTGGCTACTTTTTCATTGAAACAATATTTTGCAACACTGTATATTATCCGATGTATTTTACCTATAGAATTAAAAATCGTATTAATATACAATGTAAACTCAACAAGTCAGCCATTTATTTATATTATCAAGTACTACAACTGATTGTTGCATCCGACTTATCAAGTTTACATGTATAGTCATTGATGTTCTTCACCTATTCTTAATAAATCTATATCTAAATCTGATATAATATTATTATTTCCAAGATAAAATAAAACATTATATCAGTATTAGCAATAGGCAGGGAGGGTTTTTAGGAAATTTACTTGAAAAGGAAAGATTACAACTTTCTATATCAATTACAATTTAAACCTTGCTTGACATGCCTACTTTTTTCCATCCATTTTAAACTTTTGCTTTGCCCATAATTTCATACAAATAAAATTGCTTTACCAATTTGGATATGACTTATAATAAAAAAGTTTCTGCTATGCCCAAAATAGTTATATTACTTATTAGAAGTCTTTGCCCAAATTTTCATAGCACTTACCAAAATCAGATGTTACCTCAATTATGATAATCCAGGGTCCTGTTTGCTTAGCACACAAGATTTTTGAAAATTTAATATACTGTACATATCAGAAATATGTGTAACATATTTGCAGGGATCATTACTCAGGCAAAATATGATGAAAAGGAGATATAATAATTAATTGAACAATAAATTTTTGCTCTTAAATTTATGTCATTTGTTCATTAATACTTTTCATTGAAATGTCAGATGATATCAGCCAGGGACCCTGGTCACATTATATCAGAAGTTTGTTTGTGACAACTGTAAATATCTGATATTGATATGTAATTTGTAAAAAAAAACTATGAATCTGTATATACAAATATGCACATGTTACACATATGTTTGTGCAGTGAGTTATCAAATCCATACATACACACATACCTTAATGTGATATCTCACAGAACCAGGGCCACAATCGGCCTCAATTTGTAAGTGTTGAAAATAGTTTGTCCTCCTCTCAATTAGGAAGATCAGCAATCTAAGGTTTGGGTACATTTTATTAAAGAACATATTAAAAATTCTAAAGGCTATTTTTCTGTTAAATGTTTGTACTGTCCCAAAAAATTTCAACATGGAGAAGCATCAAGACTTGTGGCTCATTTAGCAAAATATTGGGTGTGACCCAGAAATAAGAAAAGAGTATCTTGAATCAATTAGCCAAAAAAAATGCTAGAACCAATAGCATTCCACTTCTTCAAAACTAATGAATGGATACCTGACAAAATGTTTTCATGAGCAGGAATTATTTCATCAAATTGTTGTTAATTTCATCACATTTGACAAAACAGATATTAATATCAATTGCAGAATATTGCAGATCAAGTATCATATATATATTAAAATTAAAGTGTAACAGCCTATTTTTAAAAATATTTCATTATTTTCATAATTGAGACAAACTTCATTATTAAAGCAAAGTAAAACCACACTATTAGAGCTTTCTAATGAATATTTTTTATACCAAAAGGAATGAATTATTTATGTAAGCTATGGCTATTCAAAAATGGCATCACATTTATATTTCAAAGAAAGATTTTCTTTTTAATTTTGTTGTAGATGCTTTGAAAATTAGTGAGAAGATGCAATGTAATTCAAGCTTTCCATATGGGAATTACTTTATGTAAGGTGTGTGTTATTGAAATGTAGAGAAAAGGAAAAGACCTGAGAAAATAAAAAATGCAGGGGTAACTGTGGCGGAGATCATAAAAAACCAACAGCTTTAAAAAGGGAGTCAATCTATCTATATATTTAAAAAAAATTTGTCTCAAATAATCTTCATGTTATAATTTTAAATTTCATGACCAATTTGGTAATGATTTTCTTTTGAGATAAATTTTCAAATCCAAATTTTTTCTATAGTTATTTTATCTTGCTTAGCAGATTTACATATTATATTCAGTTTACTTATTACTGGGTATTTTTATAATAACGTAATGATTATTAATATTAATAAGACAAATTTATCATCAAAATCTTTGAATTTGAAGAAGAACAAGAAATTGTAAATATTGTGTTGGATAACCTGAAGTTGATGATGATGAGAGTATTGAGAGGATAAGTGAACCAATTGTAAAATTACAGAAATTATAAATGGTTTGGGAATGCACTTAAATGTATACAACAAAAAGATTTAGAAGTTGGTTCTCAAATGTACTGAAGTTAAAAAGTATAGATGAGTGTCTAAACTAGACAATGTCTAAAATATAAATTAATTTAGACATTTAGACAATCATGGTCTCAATTGTCTAAAATGCCGAAATTGAATTTTCTATTGGATTTTTTTTTTTTTTTTATGCTGAGTGAGGTCTGACAGGACCCCGGAAACTACATAGATAGGTTACATTATTTTTGGGTAAATCAATATGTAAAAAAATCGAAAGGTCAGA